TCCCCATTTCCTGCTTCCCTGCTCCAGCCTCTGGGAACTACTAATCTACTGTCCATCTCTAGATTTCCCTATTCGGGATATTTCTTACCAAGAGAATCATACAGTATGTGGTCTTTGTGACTGGCTTCTTTCACTTAGCGTAAGTTTTCAAGGTTCATCCGTGTTGTAGCAGGCATCAATACTTCATTCCTTTTTATGGCTGAATAATATTTTTTTTGTATGGATATACCATATTTTGTTTATCCATTCATCATTTGATGGACATTTGGGTTGTTCCACTTTTGGGCCATTATAAATAATGCTGTGACGAACATTTTATTGGTACAGGTTTTTGTGTTTTCCATTCTCTCATGTCTTATGTCCTTAATAGAGGAATTGCTAGATCACATAGTTGTTCTACGCTTATCCTTTTGAGGAACAACCAAGCTGTTTTCCAAAGTGGATGCGCTATTTTACATCCCCAGTGGGTGAGGGTTCTAATTCCTTCACACCCTCACCAACATTTATTTTCTGTTTTCTTTTTAAATTATTATGGCCACCCTATCCTAGTGGGTGTCAAGTGGTATCTCATTCTGGTTTTGAACTGCATTTCTCTAGTGACTGATGTCAAGTACCTTTCTCATGTGTTTACTGGTCCTGTCTATACCTTCTACGGAGAAATGTCTATTCAAATTTTTTAAATGTCTTTATGCATTATTTAAATAGGGTTCTTTGTCTTTGTATTATTGACTTGTAAATTTTTGTATATGTTCTGGATATTAATCTCTTATCTGATAGATAATTTGCAAATCTTTTTTTTCTTCCATTCTGTGGGTTGTCTTTTTACTTTCTTGAGTGTCCTTTGGTGGACAAAAGTAAATTTTGATGACTAGGAAACGTCAGAGCAAGGCTTTATTGAGTATCTAGGGTGTGCAGCCTGAACTGGCGACTGGACTGAACGGCAGAATCAGCATCTGAACCCAGGTCAAACCATCTCTTTCTACCTCACCAGATGGCGCCACAAACAGCCTGCGCCTGGTGAACTTGGCCTATGGAGCCTCAACTCACCTGCAAAGCTGCCCTTCATAAATCAGATGCTGGGGGGCCCTGGTTATGCTTCACAGGACAGAGGCATGGCTGGGCCAGTGACGCCCCCTGGCTGCCGAAGATGGAAGTCACCTGAGGGCCGTGCAGCTCAGGCCTGGCCTAGTAGCCTCTTTGGAACTCACCAAGTGTGAAGCTGCCCACCCAGTGTGCTCATTAAGCTCTTGTGCCCTCTGGACAGATGGATCCAGGCTCGTGTCTGACCTCCTTCTCTTTGTTGTGTGATGTGACAAGTTTCTTCCTGCTGTGAGCTTTGCTCTCATTTGTAAACTGGGGGTGATGCTTCCTGCTTTAGCTTGGGCCTGGAACACGGGAGTTGTGCAGTGGAGCTGGCACTGTCACATCCCATCAAGAGGCACAGATGTCCAAGCAACTTTCTACAGGCTCTGGGCTCCCCAACCCCAGGAACCCAGCACCTCGCTCTGATCTACTCTGTGCCCCTGCCCCAGTCTGGCCCTCCCAGGGAAGGGCCCACTTGCCCTCTCTTTCCCTGAGAGGCAGGGCAGGACCACTGCTGGCAGCAAACCCGGGTGCTGGCTCGACCTCTCCCATTGGACACTGAGCCTTTGGCCAAGGCACTTGCCCTCATGAGCCTCCATTTCCTGGCCTGAAAAATGGGGCTATAATTCCTGTCTCCTTCAAGGTTGTATATAAAGGGGCTATGTGAACTGTGGAGCACTGCACCATGGTGTGCTGTTAAAGGCAGCTGTGACTGTGCCACAGTGGTGTCCCCTCTGATCTGGGCTCTTAAAAGGTGAGCTGGACTGGGGTGGAGATTTGGGAGTCAGGGGAAACTTTCCAACTGCCCTCAAAACACCCATATAGGTTCCCCCTCACCCCCCTGCCTCCCCTGGAAGATTGGGAGGCTTTCCAGCGAGGAGTTGGGCCAGGAGGCACAGGCCCTGCCTCCATTCCTTTGGATAGGTGAGGCCAGGTATTTCCAAACATCTCATTTTGAGTAAGAGCTTTGATCTGTGGCCTCTTGCAAGAGATCTTGCCATTCTTTTCTGACAAACAACAGACTCTGTTTCGTAACCCGTATTATAAAATAGTTTATTAGCAACCAAGTGTACGCAGTTGTTCACAAATATCAAATATCAGTCAGCTGTTACCAGTGTCATCCAAGAGCCCCTCCTGGCTTTCCTCCAGCCTCAAACACCTCACAGCCTCCCTCACCCCATTCTGTCTGGGGGGCTCGGCCACACCTGACCACCCCCACACATGCTTCAGCTCTCTCTTCAGGGGTCCCTCCCATGGGCAAAACACATCTCATCCCCCATCGGGTTTCTTTGCTGGATGCTCCCCCAGAATTTGGCTCCTGGCCCTCCAACCACACGTGGTAATGACATGCTCACTCGGTAATGGGTCATCAGAGTCACTTCCGTCTCTTTTAATACAGGCGACCTTCCTGCTGGTGGAATTCGATCAGCCTAGTGTCTTGGTGTCCCCAGGGCCTGCAGTGCCTGGCACTGAACAGACGCTCAATAAATGTTGATAAATAAATGGATGAGCAAAGAAACAAACCTCAGGCCAGCCAGCCCCTCTCTGGGCTACTTTTTTTTTTTTAAAGTGATAGTGTTAAGAGTCAAGGATGGGGTTGCTGAAGACAAGCCCCCTGTGCAGCTCCCAAGGTGCCCCTGCCCACCTTGCCAGGTAGGAGACTGTTCTCACCTCCGCAAGTGACTGCTGCCCTCGCTGCTTAATACAAGGAGTGCTCTGCCAGTTCTGGGATTGAGTGGCTAAAGCCCACACCTGACCCCCCTTGTTATAACTGTATTTGTGTCAAATCTCTGCGATCAGAGGTTCAGGAGACCCTTGCTACCTGCAAGGAAACCAGGTGAGGCTGTGCTGATGGTGGGAAATTGGCTGTGGGTGGTTAGAAAGGCAAGGGTCGGGGTTCAAGTCCATAAGCCCTTTGTTTTTAGGCAGATGGTGGTGAAGGTGGAAGTCAGGCATTGTGAGCCTCTGTCATATGAACAGGTGGGCCCAGCAAAACCTGGCAAAGGGTCCCTCCAACCCTGTTGGTGTGCCTCCATAGCCTGCCAAGGGCAGTGGGAAATGGCTCCGGGATGCCCAAGGCCTCAGGGTTCTCCAGATATGGCTGCACCTGGGGAGGCTGCACAGAGGGTGACCACACAGTGCCCCAGGGGTGGTGGGAAAGCCTGCCGCGTCTGGGATCAGGGAGCAGCCCTGGAACATGGGATGTCCTCTTGCCTGACAACCAGCCCCAGGCCAGCTCCTTGATGCTGGCACAACAGGTTTTTTCTTGCCGCACTAATCAAACACTCTGTTAGACAAGGAGTGCGGAGGAAGACTCCTTTGGGGCCCCCTTGGGGGCCCCAAAGACCTCACAGAGCTCACCTAAAGACCCCCACCTTCCCAAACCTATAATTTCCTTGCTAAAAATAGGCCCTGGGAAATCTAGAAATCTTCTAAGAACTGGAAAAATAAAAATCACAGGATCTGAGGGGGGGAAAGGCCGCAGCCCAGCTTCTTGGTTGCAAAGCACCTGGACAGTAGTACCTGCTGAGGCTTCCAGTCTCTGGGAAGGGTCTTGGCAGCCAGGACACTAACGCTTTGTGGGGAGAACCCCTTTATAGGGACTCACTCCTGGGGATATCACCTGGGGGGTCAGCATCCTTTTGTCTGGGGTACAGCAGTACAGAAAGACAAACAAGGCGCTGGTGGGCAGAGATCTGGAGCCAAGGGCCAAGCCACCCCCAGGGTCAGGTCTTCAGAAGTACTGGTGGCCACTGGCCTGGCCCAGCCAGAGTGCAGGGGGCAGGGTGGGGATGGGGCCGGGTAGCACAGCCTGGACACCCAGACCCCGCTCAATGGCTTTATTGCCACCTGGAGTCAACCCACAGAGCAACACGCAGCCCGGTGGCTTCCTCAGTTTATTCCATGGCAAGCTCTGCTCTGATGGGTACAGTCCACACAGCAGAGCAGCTGGCGGTCCCAACTATTGGCTGTGGGCACAAGGAGAGCCAGCTTTCAGGAAACAGAAGCCATAACTGGCCAGCTGCTGGGTTGCATGGTGGGGTCAGGTGTTGGCAGCCAATCTTCAGCTGTCCCCTTGGGGAGACACAGAAGTGGAGGAAAATCTGGATGGTTCTCTAAGAAGCAAGTCAGGGCCTAAGATGAGCGCCCTGGGATGGCAGCTCCACTCTGTACCCCAGCATGTTCTACCTTATTCCAGCACAGTCCACCTTCCTCCAGCTCTGCTGGGCTCTGGCCCCACTTTGAGCTGAAAAGGATGTCAGCTGGATTGCAGCAGCTGGGAAGGGGGTTCACTGGGAATTCCCTGGAGACTCAGTCCTCACCCACTCAGATCTGTGTAAGACTGAGCATGGTCTTTTCTCCTGGTGGTTATCCCTGCTCGGTCTCACTCCAAAGGCGGGAGGACAACGCCGGAGGGGCCATGATGTTCTGCTGGAATTGACACCCTCAGCCTTGCCCTGTCCCTCCATCCAGCTGGCCCTGCCCATCCCTGCTGAGCCCCTTCGTGCAAAGAATTCAGCCTCTCTGCTCTTAGGGCCTGAAGCTGTGCTCCCTGCAAAGGCCTAGGGCTCAAGCCCTCAAGCCTGGAAGCCGGGCTTGGGTGAGTCCTGGGACAGGTGGATCTTGTCAGGAGGGACTCGGGGCAGCTTCTGCAGGCAGGAGCCTTCCTCAGTGGATGCTGGTTCATCTTCGGGGTTCTCATTCTCATTCTTTGTGAACAGGGGAAAAGATGCTCGTCTGAATCCTCCGGATGGCCTATGCACTGGGTGTCCCCTTCCTGCTTGGCCACTGTGGCAGGTGGGCCCATGAGGAGCTGAGATGGCGATGTGTGGTGAGTACTCTCTATGGTCATCTCCAGCACCACCCTGCCTGGGAGGGCAGGGGACAGGGAGTGGGGTGCTAAGGGGGTTGGAGAGCACAGGCACAGAGGTTAGGATCTTCATTGTGTTGGGGACGGTCTTGTCGCCTCAAGACCCTGAATTTTCTCCTGGGAGGCAGTGTCAGGGAGCAGCACCTCCACAGTGTAGCTGACCTTCTTGGTGTGCATCAGGCTGTAGGTGTTGTCGAAGCGCAGGACGTCTGCAAGGATGGAGAAGTAATCAGGCAACTCAAGCTTGACCCATCTGCATACCTGGTACCCTTGGAAACCTGGCTGCCCAGGACTGTGGGTGAGGCTGGAGGGTCGGCCACTGCGCAGCCCCCAGCCCATTGCTCGGGACCATCTCTGGACGATGCTTGTGCTCATTAAAGAATTAGTAACGGCCACCAGCATGCATCAGCCCTTTCCAGGTACAAAGCATTAATCAGTGCTCACAGCTCCCTGAATCCTCCAAGCAGCCCCGTGGAAGGTACCATCGTCTGCATTGTATGAATGAGGAAACTGAGGCTCAGAGAGGTTAATAAGGCTTTCTGACAATTATGGAGCAAGAGAGGGGAGGGACTGAGATTCCCTTATCCCAATGCTCCAACCCAGAGAAGCCCTGCTCTCCCCAGAAGAGAGGGATGAGCTCCATAAGCCACTTTTTGGTCGTGCCTTTCATAGAGGGCATGTCCTTCAATGCCAAAGGCCAATGTGGACTCTGGGACGTAATGAGCCATCGGTTTCTGTTTCCACTCTCCTAACTCTCCCTGTCCACAAAGAGAAACTAGGTTTGGATTAACTAAGGCATTAGCAAAGTCATTTCCCTTCTCCAAAGGAAACCAAGATTGGGTGCCCCTTCTCCTAGCTCCGATCCCAACAGAGGTGGGAGGTCTGTGGTGTCCCTGGGCAGCCCTGTTTCTGATAAAACTGACCAAACTGCAACTGGCCTGGGCAGCCTGGGAAGAAAGGATAAACCCCTGGAAGAATCATCTCTTCAGGATGCCCAGAGTGGGTGGTCCACACACCTGGGCAGTTTAGGACCCCTGAAGCTAATCTCACACTACTTACTTACCTGTCTCAGCCTTTCCAGCCCAGTGGAGGCTTCCCAGGAGCTGAGTCCACAGCCCCAGGCTGTGAATCCCACTCTCTACAATGCACCTCTGCCCTTGTGCCCACACCTACAGCCCCTTATCAGATCCAGCACCCTGAGCCAATTCCCCTGGCACCCATGGGATCTAGGGGCTTGCACAGACCCCCGCACCCTCCCCGAGAGCTGCAAATAGAAGGCAACGAGAGAAGTCAGACTGGCCACACATGTCAGCTCATCTCTTTGCCAGGAGGGAGAAAACTCTAGTGAACCCTACAGTTCTTACAGACACCGGCCTTGAGACAGGTGAGGCTCCCGTCCTCGGGCACCAGGTGGGCATTGTAGCGCTCGCTGGGCAGCACCTCTGTCATCTCCCCTACCCGCTGATGCTCTCCCTTCTTGGTCTTCAGGAAAACTCCGAAACCGATGTCTGCTCCATGTGATTCAAACTGCCACCTGCAAGGGACAGGGCCCCACTGATGACCACCTGCTCCGGCTCCAGGCTCCTCCCAGCTGTGCCCAGGTGTGAGTGGCCACCGCCCCTACCTGAGGACACAGCCGGGAAACAGGATCTCGAGCTCCACCTGCTGAGAGGAGCCTCGGCCCACAGTCACCGTGTGTTCATACTGCACCTTCACCTGGTTGTGTAGGTAGTAGCTCTTGGGCACCTCGCCTCCATAGCTGATCTGTGGGTGAGCGTAGGTGAGGGGACCACAACCATTACTCCTCCCTCCCCATCCTCTGGACACCCTGTACCTTGGTCAGGCACTTAGGGTTGCCATCGGGGTCAGTCATGGTCCCCCCAAACTCCACAGGTAGCTGGTCAGGGCTGATGAACTTTGGCAGCTCCTGCTTCCAGTTGCCTGTGGGAGCAAGAGGGGGGCTCTGTGGGGGCTCAGGGAGGCTTGATAGAAGGCAGAGGAGACCAAGCCCTGGGAAGGGACCTGCCATGTCCTTGGCTTGCTCCCCTGCTCAGGAGAGCACCCAAAAGCTTTACGTAGCCACCCAGGTTGAGGTCTAGGGCCCAAAGCCTTATCTGAGTGTGCAAATGCCGATGGAGTTAGGCCAAGATCAATGCCTGGGTAAAGAAAATGAGCCAGCCCGGCCAGGCTGAGCATCAACCTAGGATCCAGGAGATCGGGGTTCGATTCCCGGTCAGGGCACATGCCCGGGTTGCGGGCTAGGCAGCCGATCAATGACTCTCTCATCATTGATGGTTTTTTTTCTCTCTCTTCCCCTCCTTTCCTCTCTCTGAAATCAATAAAGATATGTTTAAAAAAAAAAAAGAAAAAGAAAATGAGCCAGGGAGAAATGGGTCCTGTAGCACTGACCTCTGCTTCCTGGGCAGAGAGGGAGATGGGCACAGCCCAGGGGCCATATCACTCACCTCCCAGAATCACTATCTTCCTTCGAGTCTCCTCACTCATGAACGACTTGACCAAGTTGAAGGCCACAGGGAACAGCTTGGGGGCTGAAACACATGCAACTCCCTTGGGAAACTGAACCAGAGAGGACTTGGATATATAAAGTCACACTCATGGGCATGGGCTGGATAGGAATTAGACAGATTTAAATTCTGTGTGACCTTCAGCTTGTTACTCACCCTCTCTGAGTCTTAGTGCTATAAACGATAACTATAAAATGGAGATTCAATTTAACAGTGTATGCATAACACTTGGCACAATGCCTGGGTCTCAATAAATGGTTGTCTTCCCTGTTCAGCTGTAGGGCTTTGGCAGTGTTGATTCCCCAGTGGTGCCTCTCCTTTTCACTCTCAGGGTTTTCCCAGGTTGCCTTGGAATCCTCTTGGGTGCAAGTAGGACCTCATGGCCCACCTGACTCACTCACACTTACTGGGACCTTTCTGTGGGTCAGGCTCTGTACTACGCCTTCTCCACAGACTGTCCCATTTAACCTCACAACTATCTTATGGGGAAGGTGCCATTGCATCACCATTTTACAAAATGGGAAAACTGAGGCTCATGAGTTTCAACAGACTTGCTCAAAGTCACAGAGCTAGCTAGATTGGAAGCCAGATCATCTGACCCAGAGCACATACAGGCCCCCCCCCCACCACTATACAGCTGCCACAGACAGGACAATTCCCACCCAAAGTGTGCCCACCAATCTGTGTGATCCATGGACCATCGGTTACCAGTCCACACCCAGATAAGTAAAGAAAATAACAGCAAACATTTAGAAACTTATGACTTATTTGACATTGCTGCACAGGCTTTTGTATATCCTAAAAGTATCAGTCTGTGAAGGACTGAGCTAAACACACACACACACACCCCCAAAAAAACAAAAAACAAAACAAAACAAAAACCCATCGTCACAATGGATGGTTTGAGAAGCCCTGAACTCTGTGGCTTACCCACTGCCCATCCCCCATTCCCCACCCTCCCCCACTGCCCAATTAATCCTCACCTCGAACAATAATTAAATTCTTCAGTGTCTCAGGATAATTTGCTTCCATGATGGCAAAAAACTGTGAAGTCAAGAAGAATCTGGTTGAGGCCACGCTCCACCATTCCTGCCTGGATTTGGTGGCCTCTGAGGCAGCTGAGACAAGAGCCCCCATCCCCCTACTCCCTGGCCCACCCTGTCTTCCCTTGAGCACATACTCCATCCTCTGTGTTACTCCTGCTCTGCTTTCTCCTTGCAGGAGGTACCCCAGGCCAGCATCACTGACTGGTCCGGGGGACCCCTGGAGGGCGTTCCCCTCCTCCATGGACTGAAGCTGCTGTGGGCAGTGGCTCCCTATTGAGCTTGAGCCAGCTGCTTACCTTACCTGCTGGTAGACCTCCACTGCTGGCTTCCACAGGTGTTTCAGGCTCAGCCCCTCCAAGTCAAACACCATCAGCACTGTCTCAATCTTCCTGCCCAGCTGCATGGGACAGAGCAAGTATATAGGTCAGACAACAGTCCCAGCTGGGAGATACTGGCCAGAGAGACCTGGGCACAGCTCCTACCTTCCTGCCACCCCTACCCCTGGCTCCCCACAGTGTTTTTTTCCAAGCAGATGAACTTATCTAGGGTTGGAGAAGATGCTGCATTTAAGCCCTGGCACAGTGGCCCTATCACACTATTTATTCAACACTATTGCCTGGAATTAGTTAACTGTGGAATTAATATCATCGTTCCTTACTCACTAGGCGTCTTTAGATACAAAAGTATGCTACACTGGCCAGTGTCTGCAGTCCCACAACTGTGTCCAAGCCGGAACTACGCTATTGGCAGGCTGTGTGGCCTTGGGTGGGTTTTTAACCCCCCTGAGCCTTACTTTTTTCTCTCTGTAAAATGGGGATAATTCCAGGCTCTGATAGAGTTGCTGGGAGTACTCAATGAGCCCAGTGCCTGGCACATGGCTGGTCCCTGGTAAATATTAACAGATATTGTTAGCAGTATCGTCATCACCATAATCATAGGCTCCAGTTGAGATAGCCATACCATGGAAGACACTGTTTTGACCCTTAGACATCAGCCATCTTACTTGAGAAGCACACATCTATTCAAACCAGGCACTAAATATAGTGCTTTGAAATTCTCTCACGATTGCCACAGATCTCTGTGGAGGCCTTTGGTGTCCAGCACTGTGCCAGCTGCTGGAGACACAGGCCCTGTCCACGTCATTTGAAGTCAGCCATTTGCCAAATCATTCCACAGTGATATGACAACTCCCCCTGGGGGTCTTCTTCTTAGGCTCATTAGACACTTAGACTCAAAAAGCCAACAAGGCAGCCCGGCCGGGTGTGGCTCAGAGGTTAAGCATCGGCCTAGGATCCAGGCGATCAGGGTTCGATTCCCGGTCAGGGCACATGCCTGGGTTGCGGGCTGCAGCCGGTCAATGACTCTCTCATCATTGATGTTTCTATCTCTCTCTCTCTTCTCTCTGAAATCAATAAAGATATATTTAAAAAAAAAAAAAAGCCAACAAGGCATTAGATTCACTCTGAAGCCTACAGGCCAGGAAACAGAGTCGAGGGCAAGAAGACCTGCAAAGGTGTGTGGGGGTCCTTCTTGGCTTAGAAGCCCCATGTCCCACAGCACTCAATATTTTTTGAAGCAACTCCACAGTAGCTTCTAGAGACCCACAAGGGTTGTGTCTAATTTCCAGGGTCACTGCTCTCAGGGACATCCAAAGCAATGGTCCCCCATCAGGTGATTATAGTTATGCAATTTGCAATCACAGGACATCTTTTCCATAAGAAAACTTCCCAGCATTCCTGGGGAGCAGAAGGAGGGCATTCACTGCACCCAAGGTCAGCATCTCATTTAAGGTCAGAGGAGAGGGAGAAAAGGCTTTGGTGACCTTTGGCTCGTGCTAGCAGAGAGCACGTATTAGATGCTTGTGGATGGATGACTGCAGGAGAAGCCACGTTTCACCTCAGCCTGGAGGCCTGAAGGCTGGGGGGGAAGCAAGGGCAGGGTGCCCCCCCTTCCTGGTCCTGGTGCCACCTTTTAGACATACCCCTTCCTCGCACCCCACCCCCCAGCACTCCTTGGTCACTCACCTTCTGACTCTGCAGCTCACACTCCTGCAAAAGCAGCTCATAGGCCTTGATGCGTTTCCGGATCAGCTCCTGCTTGGAGGCTGATAGGAGGAGACCCTTGGGGTCAAGTGTCCCGATGATGTCGAACCACACGGGGCAGCCTTCATAGTCGCAGCCACACAGACCGCCCGAGTCGTACAGCTTGACCACCTGGGAAAAGGTCCTGACTCAAACCAGCCCGCCAGGCCATGTCCCTGCTCCATCAGGTGGCTGGACAAGGTTGGGGGCAGGGAGTGAGGTGGGGGTTACTAGGTGGCCTGGGGAATGTTGTGTGAGGCTCACCTCTGAGGGCTGCCATGTGAGGATGTTGTCCAGGTCCTGTTGCTTCCGGAACTCCATGTGCTGGGGACACATGACAGGACCTGAAGACTGCCCGCCCCAAAGGTCCCTCTGCCTGCAGCTACCATGATCCTGCCAAAGCATCCCCAGGGTCTACCAACATTGAACTGGGGATGGGGACACCAGGAGGAGGGGTGCGGGGGACGTGGGTCTGATGCAGAAAGGGATCCGAGGAGGAAGGAAGAAGAAACATGACAACGGAACAGGGCAAGAGTCCCCACCCTTTGTTGCTAATCCCTGGGGTACAGCGTGTGGGAGGCAGCAAGCTCATGAGAATGGGGCTTCACCTTCCGGAGCATGTCCTCGGAATTCTGCAGGTTAAAGTTCTGAGCTGCAAGAAGAGTCAAAATAAGAGGAGGCTTGAGGCTGGATTTGGAACAAGCTATTCTCTGAAAACTCACGAGGAAATTAGTTTTTTAATCCATTGAATGGGAATAATATCTATTGATTGGCTGATTGATTGATGTATTTTAATCTTCATCCGAGGATATTTTTTCCACCGCTTTTCAGAGAGAGTGGAAGGGAGAGAGAGAGAGAGAAACATCGATGTGAGAGACACATCGATTGGCTGTCTCCCGCACCAGGGTCAGGGATCGAGCCTGCAACTGCATGTAACCCAAGGCCCTTCAGTCTGCAGGCTGATGCTCTAACCTCTGAGCCAAACCAACTAGGGTGGGAATAACATCTTTTTTAAAGTTATTCAAAGGACGACATGAGACAAAATGCTTGGCACATTACCTGGTTCACAGTTCTCAATAAATTGTAGATATTGTTGTGGTTACTTATTTTGAAGACATAAATGCACTTTAATTTAAAACATAATGCTTGCTCTATTTTAGAAAGGCCATGACTGTTGCTCTCTGAGATCACTGGTTCACTGAGGAATTTGTCCTGTGATGAGCCTTCGATAAGATCTAGGGTCGGAGATTTTCAAATGGAAGGGGCCTAAGATGCTACCAGCTTTCTTTGCCCTGATCATAAACCACCTCCAGAAAAAACCCACCAAGGCCACCAGCTCTGTCTTAACAAGTTCAAAATCCATTCCATGGGGTGTGCTGAGTTGAAATAAATTTTTCCCTAAGCCCTGGAGTGGTTTCTGTTATTATAATCATTTTACACTGTTTCAGCAATTCTTAGAAGAAACTCCTCCACCTTTAATTACATCCACTTCCTGTAGTGTTTGCTGGGCATCTGCTTCGTGTCAGATTCTCTAAGGGGACAGCATAGCCTTGTCTTCAAGGAACTGGAGGTAGATGCAAAAGCAGGTCCTGAAGACCATGTTCAGCAATAGCTGACTCAAGGCCTGGCCAAGCCTGTCATCCTGAGAACATCTCAGGTGTTAACTCTAACCTTACCTCAACCTTGTGCCCACCTGGTGCCAGGCTTTACACCCTCTCATTTAATACTCACAACAACCAGTGGGGAGGTGGCTCATCCCAAATTTGCAGATGAAGAAACTGAGGCTCAGTGGGGGTTTTTTGTGCCATGCCAATCTGAAGGGGAGCTCAGATTCTAGCCCAAAGTAGGCTGATTCCAGAGCCCATGTTCTTTCCCAAAGTCTCTCACACCCTTTCCTGAGACCCTCCGATCCCGCCAGCCTCACCTCGCAGCCAGCGCAGGAGGAACCGGTCATCAGCATTGGGCATGGTGGGCAGCAGGTCCTGGAGGTTGTCCCGGAACTGAGAGGGGATATGATTGTCAGAGGGGCTCCCATTACCCCTGGGGCCCTCAACCCCATCTCCGACCCTTCTCACCCTCAGTCAGCCAGTCAGCCCTGCCCAGGGGCTGCACAGTTAGCAGCTACCTGGGAATGGAGCACACCCACCACTCCAGCCCACCATGGCAGGAAGAGTTGTGTCCTTCTCAAACTTTGGGGGATCTCTGCCCCCCAAGACCCTCATTCTATAAGTCTGAGGTGGGGCCCTGACATCCCTATTTTTGCAAAGATCCCTGGTGAATTTGATGCAGGCCAACCAGGACATTTTAGCAACATTGCTTCTGGTATCTCATCTTGAAGGTTCAGATTTGGAAGCAAGTTACTTAACCTCTCTGAGCCCCAGTTTCCTCATCTGTGAAGTGGGGATAATGATAGATTTGTGCCAATCAAAAGAGTTTGTACAGGTAAAGCACAGCATCAGGCCAGGCTCACAGCAAGTGCCACATAAATGTGGTCACTTAGCCCATGGAGTCTTTGTGAAAACAACCCTGGGCAAAGGTCCGCAGAGAGGGACTGAAAGAGGAGCCAGGGCTGCCTCATCTGGGCACCATCAGGGCTGGGGGAAAGGAGGGTGGCTGACTGGTGGGGGATGCCTTTTCTTACTGGCAGAATTTGGGGAAGTCGCTGGGAATTTGGGTTTGGAACTGAGGCTCAAGTGTGAGACAGAGAGGAGACCCCAGTTCCATGAGGATGAAGTGAGCTGAAGACAAGGCCTGGAGGGCTGGGTGTGCAGGGAAACCTGTGACTAAGAATTTGGGATTCAAAACAGATGCCAGCAGACCCATAGGAAATTCTTGATGACCATCCACCAAACCATCTTAATTTAGCTTTATGGATGATCTCTAAAATAAGAATGTATTCATGCATTGCTCCCATAATTTAAAATGAACAATCAGCTTCAATATCTCCGTTGTTAATAACAGGAGCAACAGCATCTGCTGTAATAATCCCCAGTTGGGACAGGCACCTGGAAAGGAGCCTCTTGCACACTGAACAGCTATAGCCTCTGGGCTCTGGAGGAAGTTTCTTCAGGGAAGGGAGCAATGCTACCTTAAAAGCAATAACTCTGTGCGCCTTGGCCTCTCCAGAAGACCAGATTCCCTCCTTTGAACCTCAGGATGTGCCCTGAGGCAGAAGCAAGGTCGCATCCCTGCTTTGCAGATGAGGAGACTGAGGCCGGGGTAGAAGAGGGGGAGGGAGTCTTCCCCAGGGACAGAGTAAGGAAGCTGCAAGGTCAGAAGGAGTTCACGTCTTCCAACCTCAAGGCCACTCTACCTTTGGAACTCATGTCAAATAAAAGAGAAAGACACTAAGCAGGTGCTCAGAAGGATCTGGAGCAACGTGGAGAAAAAACCCCAAAAAACTAATGATGATGCCAAGTGGAGAAAGTAGCATCTGGCAGTGGGACTTCAGGTGGTCAAAATGAGGTTTAGGAAAAAGCTAGAAGGAAATGCCCCTAGCGTGGTTGTCTAGAACTCTGTGACCATGGGTGGCTTCTCCCCCTTCTTTCTACTTTTCTCTTTTCCCCTAATTTTAGAAATAGCATCCATTTCTTTTAAATAATGGTAAAAATAAGAATAAATTATTTTTACATTGTTTAAAGCTTTTTGCCAAACAGGCATCACCATCATAATTCACCCCCAAAGGCCAGGTGTCCAGTCCCTCCTAGAAGCCTAGTGTCTGAGGCTTCTCCAAGGTCACTGCCAAAGGGGAAGGGAGAAGGCTCACCAGGGGACCCTCATTCCTTCATCTGAGACTCTCTGTTTCTGGAACCTCCTCCTTTAATACCTGGGGATTCACCCAGGGACCCCATCATTCACCTGGGACCAATCTCTCTTTTACTAGGAATTCACTCAGGCGCCCCTCCTTCACCAGAGGTCCTCATTCCTCTCTGGAGGACCCCCCAGGTCCTCCTGAGGGTAGAAGCCTCAACAGAAATCATCTCCACAAGCCTGAACCTGCCCCCTCACAGGCCCAAAGTGGAAGCCAGGGTTGTGACCCACCCTTTTCCCTCAACCTGAAGCCACAGTTTCCAGCCCCTGGCCACTTGGATATGCTCCCCTTCCCATGGCCATGACGCTCCCAGCTGTGGCCTACCAGGCTGCCTTGAAATCACCCAAAACTCCCCCATTCCCCTTTCATGAAAACACTGACAATTGCCACACAGCTTAGGCCCTGGGGATTCAGAAAGCCACAAAGAGAATCCAAACAGATGTTGCAATCTGGGCGGGAGACCTGGGAGTCTGTTCGCCATAGGCTGCGCAGAAGCAGGAGGGAGCCACCATCGCCCTCCGCCCTCCGACCTGGAACCGGAGCCGTGGCTCTGCGGCCAGGAGGGAGCAGGAGTGGGAGGCTGGATTGGGCCCCCGGTGTCGCCCAGAGAAGGGCCCCTGTCCCGCGTCCTGTGCACAGCTGCCTGAGTGACTGGGCATGGGCACCAGGGGCTGCACAGAGGCGCTCTGCAGGGTCCCCTCTCCCCCAGGACAATCGGGGCTCCAGCCCAAGTGGCAGGGTCAGGCGGGCTGCTCGGCCCCTCCCCAGGCCCCTCGGCCCTCGGAGAACCTCACCCTGGCCAGGGCCTCCTGCTGCTGGGGGCTCAGGTCCCCGACTCGGCCGCTCATGGTGTCTGCGGGGCGCGGTGTGGCTGCTGGCGGTGCTCCCGGAGCCTGGTTTGGCCCCGCAGGTCAGGTGCTGGTCCCGCCCCGCCCGTCCCGCCTCTGGCTTCTCCTCCTCTCTGGGATTTTTGCCACATTCAGTCACCAAGACGCACCCTATCCGGGGCAAGGAGGTGACACGCCCCCAGAGGGATCCCAGAGCCGACGTCCGTCCGGGGCAGGAGGCGCCCCCCACCTCCAGGCCTCATCCCAGGGGCTCCCACAGGTTCCCACAGGGCAGTGCAGGGGGAGGGCCTAAAGGACACCGGAGCAAGTTCCAGGGAACACCAAGATCCCCTTCCAGCAAAATGGGGGAACTTTCTATAAACTTCGCTCAAACTTCTTAGGCGGCCCTTTCTTCCCAAGGGATCCCCAGCCCCCTCCCCTTGACCTTGAGCACAGGCTGTGCCTGCCAGTGTTCACCAGCTGATAGGAGAGCGCTCGTGTGCCAAATGGTTCCAGCCTTCAAGATGGTCTGGAGGGTTAGATAAGATGATCGGCCGGGGTTTGCCTGCCATTGCACGCCCAGCGTTGGCTGGCGGGAGTATTGTTTCATACTCACTACTCCTGAGGCCGTGGCCAGAGCAGCGAGCTGCAGGGGTGGAGATCAGGGCATGGCCTCCCTGTGAACTCCTGGGTAGGATCCACAACCCGAAGGTGGGGAGTGGGTGGCTGTGGGCAGATGGACGCCTGGGGTGGGATTGTAGAGTGGTGGGGAGGCCAAAGGGTAGTAGGCGGCTGTCGCAGGTGTACAGGATGCCACCTGAGAGTAAGGAAAAGGTCACACGGGGAGGTGAGAAAATTCAAGTTGGCTGGGCAGAAATTTTCCAGAGAGCAGAGCAGGTGGAAGGTGAAGGTAAAGGGGGAAGGAAATCTGGAGGGCAGAGGCCACCAGAACCTTTGCCCTCTGCCCTCCCTTGGGTCAAACCAAGTCTTAGGCTTTCGTTGACCAATCTGGTGGCCACAAGCCATATGTGGCAGTTGAGCTTAGGGAATGTGGCTTGTCACTAGTGAAAATGGAGATGTACTGTAAGTGTAAACTACACATCAAATTTCAAAGACCTCTCGTATCAAAAAATTTAAATATTTCATTAATATCTTATACTGATTACATGTTGAAATGATAATATCTGTGGATATATTGTGTTAATAAGATATATTGCTAAAATTAATTTTACCTGTTTCTTTTGATTATATAAAAATACAAAACTCTGTTAAACAAGAAACAGAATTAAGGCATTAAGGGCGGTAGTTGCTGATGTGAATTTGGGAAACATCAAATGTACAAAAATTGATACCTTTATAAAGAATGCATGCAAATTGATGAGAAAAACAGTAAAGCACTAAGAAATGGACAAAAGACTCAAAACACCAATTATCAGAAGAGGGGATGCAAACAAGTGAATAAATGCTCAGCCTCCGGGTGTCACCAAAGAAATGTGCGTGCAAATAACTAGGTGCTTTTTTCCTTCACCAAATCAGCAATAAAACAAAAGAAACAACACACACGCAAAACCTTTCTAAAGTAATAATAGTAAAGTTAGTTAGAAGTTGGTGAAATGGAGATTCAGACATTGGTTCAGCTTTCCTGGAAAACTATTTGACAATACCGTCAGGATCCTTCGATAGCTTACCACTTTGCCTAATAATAGTCCAACGAACGGGAAATATTTTCCTCTTAAAGTTGTTTGTGCATTGTTAATAGGAAAATTGGAAACAATTTTTCAGGAAATCACGGTGCTTAATGAGGTTGAGGAAGAGTTTAAAACAACATGGAAAAAAATACCACAAAATAGCCTGGCTGGTGTGGCTCAGTGGGTTGAGCGTTAACCATGAACCAGGAGGTCACAGTTCAATTCCTGGTCAGGGCACATGCCCCGGTTTCG